CCAAATTCGAGATCAAAACTAATGAATTGAAAAAGAAGAAGAAAGACGCGAAGGATTTGGAAATGAAAGTCAAGAGTTTGTGCAAAATAGAGGACTTTGAGACCACTTTAGCCGCCGCTGACAAAGACCTCAAAGATTTGAGACTTACTTTTTCGGGAATGGAAAACAACGAACCCTTCATCAGAGCTCAGATCCATTCAATTGATTGCACAGACAGTTGTCCTGTTTGTGAACACGATCTCAATGCTGACTGGAAGACCAAAAGTGGCACAAAATTAAACAAAAATGAATTGATTGAGAAATTGGAAACATTAGTGAAACAAACGCCACATTCTGTCGAAGAGATTAAGAATAAAATTAAGTCTAAAGAGAAAGAAGTGAATGAATTGATTGGTTTGCGTTCTGCCGTCGACTCCATTAAGGCATTAAACGTTGAAATTCCCAAAATTGAAACCGAATTAAATTCAATGAATGAGAAGAAAGACAGTCAGAAACAGTTCATTCAGAAGGAGAAAATGATAATAAATAAGCAAAAGAGTGAATTGAATTCATTGCGCGATGTCTTACAAGACGCCAATGAATACGACAAGAGTTGGGCTGATATTCAGGAATTGAACAAAAAGATAAATTCTATTGATTTGAGTCAAGACTTTGAGTCCGAAAGTATCGACGATTTGGCCAAAGATTTACAACAAAAGAAAGCAAATTATGATGAATTGGAGGCAAAAATAAACGATACACAGAAGACAATTGCCGAACACTCAGAGAATTACAACAAAAAGCAAACACTTCTGCAGAGTTGTGAGCGAAAGAAATTGGAGATCGAAAAGAGTGAACACGAGATGACTAACCATAAGAAGAAGTTAGAAGAACTCAAGACTGAAATCGCGGCTTTAGACAAGAGTATTATGGATTCGCAGCTAAAATCAATGGAAACCAATCCAAAGATCACTGAAATTGAGTCTCAAATCAAAGACAAGAACATTGAGTTCAAAGAATTAGAGAAACAAATTCAACAAAAGATCGGTTTAATTAAAGATAAACAGAAAGAGATCGAAAGGATTAACAAAGAGATCGATAAGTATGTCAACACTGGACAATTAATTGATTACTTTTATCGTTTGTATTTGTTTTTGCCTTTCAATCCATGACAGTCCACCCGATCCCTGGAATCAGATCTCTCCAGACTCTGTCGATCTCATCAGTAATTTATTACAAGTAAAGATACGAAAGAGATATACAGTAGAGAAGTCTTTATTCCACGCATGGCTTCAAGTGAGTCAACGAATAAATAATTACTTTCCTATTATTTATTAATGTATTGAACATTGAATCGATCACTGAATGCTTCATTCACTGCTTCTCTAGGATTACGAGGTTTGGTGTGATTTAAGGGAATTGGAGGCCAATGCAGGCGTGCGTTGGGTTACACATGAGTCGGACGACGAGCGCTGGAAACAGTACCGCATCGCCCATAACCTCCCGCCCCCTAAAGTAGAGTCATTCGCGTTAAATGACGTGAATATGGATGAGAACAACGAAAATAATAGTAATTCAAAAATTGATAACAACTCCGGTTATCAAAATCATAATCATCACCACAACGGCTCCAGTCCTACCACTGGCAGCACAAGCCCTACAAAAAATATACGCCTTTAAAGCACATATATTTCTATTAATAATAATATTCATCTTATGGTTGGAAGCGAACGATTTAATGAATAATAATCTATTTAATTGTTTCCAATTATATATCAATCAATTGACCGGAATTTTTAACAAAAGACTTTTGACTTGTTTTTTAACAAAAAGCGGACATTTTTTACAAGACATTTAATCGTGTGATTTGTGGAACAGTTTTGGCAAAAAATTAAATTTTGGCCAATTTTTTGCAGCCAATCTATTATTACCCGAAAGTTCTGTGATTTTACGGCTGTTTTTTGTATTAATTGTTTCTGACATTTAGATAATGGCAATAATTATCCAAATTCACGGTTCCCTTCCCTATTGAACACCCGATCCCAACGATTCGTTCAATCAAACAATTTAGTTATTCATTGTGTTATAAATTGTTTTCATTGTTTCACTATTACTATTACGATCACTATTACAGTCATGTGTTTTTGTGCCTCACTATTCAATACTGGCCTCAACTTCCAGTTATAGTTGGACTCAAACCCAATCTCTGTCTTAATTGAAAACTGATTTCCGTTGTCTTCCAACACTGAAAACACACTTTTATTTAGATGTCCTTCAGATTAATGATTGGATTATTGTTTTTTTTTCATTCCGTTTTTATATATGAATTCATAATTAGTACAAGAAATTTGCACCAATTTTCTGCTGACAATCGCTATTTAACATAACTATCTATTGGACCGAAACAAACATTTGGACAATTGATATATATTTTAACGACTCATTAAAAAAGACAATTCTTATTGAAACAAATGATTTATTAAAATTTTTAGTTTTCATTGTTATACAGTATTAGGCCTTTTCTACTTATAAAATCTTAGTTTTCATTATGTATTTTAAAGAAATTTTTTATCGCATTATAATTAGATGTTATGGAAAAATAAAGACATTCCAAGGGATGAAACCATTGGCACAATAACTCCAAACGAATCAAATATATTGACACAAAAATAAAAGGATAACAATTAGTTTAGCGAAACAAACCAAACAAAACCCCGTTTTTACGAATTAAAATAAATTGTTTAAAACAATTGGCGAAACTGATCGGTGCTTTTGATATGAGTTTATAACTACAAAATGACAAGTTTATATTATAACCAAAATTATAATAATGATTACAATTCTAATATAGCATTTTATTTTATATTTGACTCGAGTTTTTAATTTTTGTTAAACAAAATCAAGTTTTAATGTTTCATTTGAGCGCTTATTTTATGGATTATTTAAATAGATTTTTTAATTTCTATTTCAATGGTTAAGGGATTTTTGGCAATTGATTGATAGTTACGTTTATTTAAGACATGTTTTTATTTTTATTTCTCTAGTTTTTAATTTAGCGAATTTATGCCATAATTTTTCAGTAGTGTATAAATTATACACAATTTTATTGGTTTTATTATATATTTTTGAACACTTAGTTTAACGACGAGATCAATGAATTGTTTTTTATTTATCTTAAACTTAGTTTAAATTGTTTTTATCTCGAAATCATGTTTTCTATCATTAATTTACTTCAGAAACCATTCCTTATATTTAAATATTACTTGAATTTTAACGATTATATCGTGAATACAATACAANTTTATCTTAAACTTAGTTTAAATTGTTTTTATCTCGAAATCATGTTTTCTATCATTAATTTACTTCAGAAACCATTCCTTATATTTAAATATTACTTGAATTTTAACGATTATATCGTGAATACAATTATCAATTGACTCAAAACTTTATAACTTTTTCTAATAATAATTATTAAATTTGATTCTTATGTTTAAAAATACTATAAAAATAAAATAATTTTTCAATTGTATTGCCTTTAAATATAATGCTAAATATGTGCCATATTTGACATCTGAACACATGTCACACATTGGTGTGTATGTGAAGAGAGCAGTGATCTCTTAGGCATCGCAACCAATGGTAAGTAATGTGAGGATCGGTTGGTAAACCGAAGAGTATTGTCCATCACATGTATCACAACTTCATTCAAAATTAGCGCCAAATGTATAACTAGTGGACAAATGAAGCGCCAAAAGCCATCACTCGTTCATAAGACACGTCTCGCAACGACTGAAGGGTTGGCAACAAATGGCATACATTTTGGTTGTATTTGTTTCCCATTGAATGACATTATTTGCGGCCAAAACACCACAACTTGTCTATCGTTTTGAAAATAGTCACACGTTTTGAAGTGAAAGCGATTCAAAGAATTGGCCGCAAATCCAGTGATCAATCAATCGGTGGCCGAAAGCACTTCTCGAGCCGAAGACATGTCTTATTTGGACAAACTGTTTATCCAAGGGATCCGCTCCTTCGACCCGAACCAACCGCAAGGTCTGGAGTTTTATCCCCTGACAGTGATATTGGGTCCGAACGGCGCGGGGAAGACGTCCATCATTGAGGCGCTGAAGTACGTGACGACTGGTCTGACGCCCGGCAACAGCAACGGCGGCCGCACTTTCGTTATGGACCCGTCAGTGGCCGGCAATCCTGTGGTCAGAGCGCAGGTGAAGCTTAAGTTCGTGGACAGCGAACGCAAGACAACGGTTATCACCAGAAGTGTTGAGTTGACGGCCAAAACCACGAGAGGGAAGACCTCTTTCAGCTTCAAGACATTGAATTCGGTGATCAATAGAGACGGTCAGCCCATCGACCAGCGGTGCGCCGACATCAACAACGAGATGCTGGAACTGATGGGTGTGTCGAGAGCTGTGCTCAATAACGTAATCTTCTGCCATCAGGAGGACTGCAATTGGCCTCTCAGTGAGGGCAAGATCTTGAAGGAGAAGTTTGACGACATCTTCGGTTCGTTGGGTTACGTCAAGGCGTTGGAAAAGATCCGCAAAATGAGACAATTAGAGCTCCAGAAGCAGCGGTTGTTGGAGAAAGACGTGAATCACGCAAAGTATGTGAAACTCGAGGCCGACAAGAAGACGAAGCAAAAGGCCGCTTATGTCTCACAATTGGATTCATTGAAGACAATCAACGCCGACAACGAGACCAAACGCGATGCACTCAAGACTGAATTGACTGATATTATCAGCAAAGAAGAGAGCATTCAATTGGTTTCCAATAAAATCAATCAAATAAAGGGTTCTCTCAAAGAAAAGGAGAAGAATTTGGATAAATTGAAGACTAATATAAAGACTCCGTTCACCGGAACCGAAGACGAACTGAAGAGCGAAATCGAGAACTTTGAGTCAAATACACAGAAATCGGAAGAATCCAAAAGAGAATTTCTGTATAAAGAAGTGGAACTCAACAGTCGTTACTCTAAACTCAATGAAGTCCTACAAAATCTCAATAAAGAGTTAAATAAATTACAATTTGGAGAACAAAAGCACAACGAATTGCTTAAGAATAGGAATCAATTGGTCTCTCAGTTGTCGAGTGATAACGACATTCAAATCGACGACAATATATCACAGAAAATAGTTTCGCAGCAAATGCTTGACTCAAGCGATATGTCAGTTGTATTGAATTCATTGGGATTAGGATTGACTAAATTGGACACAGAATTGACTGAAAACAGAGAAGATTGTCAAAAGTGTAACACAGAGTTATGCCAAGAGATGACACAATTCAGACAAACGCAAAGCAAATATGAACACGAAGTCAAACTCAGAAGCGATGAATTGAATACCAAAATGAATACATCCAAAGAGTTAGAGGCAAAGGTCAACAAATTTGGCAAATCTGACGCTCAATACGAGTCATTGAATGTGGATATAAAGCGTTTGAGTGAAGAGATTAAACAAATGGAGAGTTTAGACATCGAGAGCAAGAAAAAGGAAAATCAGTCAAAAGAATCTGAAAAGAAGAGTTTGAAGAATGAAATCAATTTATTGGATGAAAAATTGAATGCAATGCGAGAGCAAAACGACGAGAGAATCAAATTAGAGATTCTTCAGAAAGACAGAACTGAAAAGGAGCGCAAAGTTGAGGAAATAAAGGATTTCCACAGCGATGTCATGCAAACTGTTAGCGCCTCTGAAGGCGAGTTTCATTCATCTCTACAAAACCATATCACGACTATTAGCGCACAATTGGATAAGAAATCAACGGAACTGTCGAAGAAAGAGAATGAATTGGCGTCAGAAGAGACCAAATTCGAGATCAAAACTAATGAATTGAAAAAGAAGAAGAAAGACGCGAAGGATTTGGAAATGAAAGTCAAGAGTTTGTGCAAAATAGAGGACTTTGAGACCACTTTAGCCGCCGCTGACAAAGA